TTTAAAATGATATAATTTTTTTTTGTTTTAGTATTTTGAAGTTGACCAATTGTTACTATAAGCAATTAATGATTATACAGTAAATATGATCATCACTTTATGTCACATTTAGTGTTAAAATCGAAAATCCACTATGCTTCATGCTATATACCAATAAGTTATAAAAAATATATCACATATCCGAAACACACAATTGGACAGCCATAAGTTGTCATTTTTAACATTCCTAATTTGGTATGTAGTGCCGAATATTTGAATATTCATGTGTAATCGGATACTAATACTAAAAATACTAATATTAATATTAATATTAATATTTAATACTAATGCTAATGATATTAATATTTCAAAAACGAGTATTTTCTTGATTGAATATTAACATTAATATATTCATCAAGTCACGTTAATGATGTCATAAATAATTTTGATGGGTTTTACTCCAAATCAAATAAGGAAAGACTAAATCAACAAAGATTTGTTTTTCTCATCTACAACAGGAAAAAAAATGTTTACAACGTTTTTACCACTAGAACTTATGATAACAATCTTTAAAATATAGAAAAAGATTATGGTACATTATATTCATGCATTCAGGTTAATAAGCAATGGCATAATATTCATTATGGAGAAAACCATTATGTTTTACTGGCAGTATTAAAAATATTAATTAATTTTTTATTAGAAGAAGATAAAGACTTTTTTTAAAAAATAACATTAAATTGAATTTTTAATTATTGGACAAACCAACATCAATACAATTATGCAAAATTTAATAATGTATTAATGTTGTTGTAATGTGATAAATATTTAGAAGTGCTGGTAGATAACTCTGATGTTATGAGAATCAATTGTTTAAAGGAAAGACTGATCAAATTTGTTTTGGATCACTCAACAACTACTAGTATTCTTTCAACTTATAATTTAAAATGTGAATGGTTAAGTGATCATCTCAGATTTAATGTCTGTTTTGAGAATCTCAGTGGATTGGAATGTGATTTTTTTAATAGTTGTAAATTGTTTAATAATCTAGCAAAGATTTGTAGAAATATTCAATCTTTAGAGATAGGTAATTTTCTTGACTGTTTAAAGGATGACAACCTTAATAATGATAGTCTAGCTCAACTTATTGAAGCTCAAAATCAAATCAAAGAATTATACTTTTTTTAAAAAAATCATATAATTTTTTCTGATAAATTAATAAGTGCAGTTTCAAAACATTCAAATTCAATAATCTACTATAAAGTATTGGAAGAGCAATTTATATCTTCTATTAGTACAGAAATTTCAAAACCTAGAATATCTAAACTTAAAAAGTAATAGAAATGTAAAACTTTTTTTATATACTATATTTTGAAATCAAGAAGAGTTTGAAATATCAAGCTCTGAGAATTCATTTCTTTTAGAATTGATTTTATTAAAAAGAATGGAAGAGATCTTAAAAATTTGTCAATTAAAAGCTATGCAGCTGATGAGATAGACTGGCCAGAAATGGTTCAATCAATTGGACAAAGCTGTCAACACCTAGAATATTTGCCAATAAATTATAGAAATGAATTAGACCAACAATTAGCTTGCATATTAAACAATTGTAAAAGATTGAAACATATTACATTCACCAACAATTATAGGAGTTATGTATTTAATGGTGATAAAATATTCCAAGTATTACCAAAAAACTAAACTTCATTTCTTTTCAAAAAAAAACAACTTTTTTCAACAATGGTTCTTTGGATCTTTTAATGGATAATTGGAAAGGACCCAAACCTTTTAAATTGAAATTTATGTTATTAATTATGAAATAAAGAAATAAAGTATAGACCAGATACATATTACTACTGGCTTTAAAGTACTTGCAGAGGACCTATTTGATGAAGATATTTATTGGAAAATTATCAGTTCTGAACATTATATATATTACATATAATTTCTAAAATTTATTATTTATTTCATATATATAATACGTAGCTGAATTCAAAAAAATTTACTCAACAGCAGATAAATTAATTAATCATAAGGAATTATATTGCATAAGCAATTATTATAATTAATATACATTTGTTTCTATCATAGCAATAGTTTAATATTTTTATTAACTTTAATTTTCAAAATCATTCATTCATTATAATAAAGAAAGTATTTAAAATCAAGTTCTTTCTATAATTCCACAAAAATCTTCTTTGATTGTACCAATTGCAAACTAAAAATAATAATAATAATTATTATATTTTTTTTTCCCATGATATTAAAAATATTATATCGTTATTAACTTACAATATCAGTTGCATCAAACCTTGTTCCGACTATTTTGATCCTTACATGACTGCCTTTTTCTAGTACTGTCTGTTTAAATAAATAAACAATAAATTTTTTTCAAAAAAAAAAAAAAAGATTTAAATAAAATATAATAAATACAAATTATGCAATACATTTTCATTTTCAACAAAAGCTGGTGGATTCCGACTTGAGTCAAATGTAAGATCTTGAGGAATTAACTAAATGTTACAGAATAACATATATATAATTAGAATAATCAAATAACTAATATATAATTGTTATAAGAACACATACATGACTAGACACAAAAATTTGTAAAGGACCAACATCTGCAAAAAATCCCATCTAAATATATAAAGGTTTACACACAACATAGCTTACAAATCATATTAAATAGATAATAATAATAGAGAATACCAATATCTATTACTTACTTTATTAACTTGACTGACTATAGCATCCACCACTTCTCCTTTAAAAGGTTTATAAACAACAGCTCTATAATTTACCTCAAATTCAGCTATTCCATGTGAAGGTATAACTTTTCCATTAGAAATGTCTAAACTCTCTATAGTATCTAACACACAAATCACATAACCAAATCTTCCAGAACATTTTCCTTCGACATCTGCATATAACCTTGCAGCTAAATAATTATTAAAATTTTGTGTGAAAAATGAAGGATGTAGTTGAATTGTGTGTGTTAATTTTTTCTAGATAAAAAATTAAAAAATTAAAAAGATTATTCTTATGATAAAGCAAAGTGAATAATAAATTAATATTACATACTATAAAGAACATTTTTTTTTGACATTACTTTTTTCCAATTAAGGGTGGTATTTATTGATTGCTGCACGTAATACATTTTTGATCATGTGATTTTTGTTTGACACTTTATATTAGTGTCAACACGTAGAGTTCAATTTTTGATTCAAATGCATCTGTGACTTTCATTAATTTGATAGCATAACTCTTTAACTTAATTAATGTTGTAAGTTGCTTGGACATTTTTTATGAAGCAAAGAAATGATTTTATTTTAAATTTATTTAAAAAAGATGCTAAATAATAAAGATCTTTATGAAGCGAATGTTGAAAAAAATATCCAGAAAAACAGTACATTTTCTGTTTTTCTGTACGGAAAATTTATTAGATTACTGGTAATTACTAGTATGGAATATTAATATGTATGGAATGTGGTTTTTTGTGTATTTCCCGGGCAGAATTGCACAGAATAGCACTTGTTTCCTACAAATATGAAATTCATGTTGGGAAAATTTTTCACTTTAAAATGAATATGTGCGCGAAAATCTTGTTGATAGAAAATTCTTACAAAATGCTACGTGACCAATTGCTAATTGATTTTTTGGAACTTTAAGTCAATCAACGATTAATTTACTATTAATCTTTTTAGCTACCTGACAATCTTTTTACATGCTCTAACAAATCACTGTAATTTAAATAGGAGTAAACTGGAGATGACACTACTCTACTTGGATATGTTTTTAGCTTTCTGTTTTAATCCCATTACCATCTCTGATGATATTCAGCTTTTCAGTCACAAGATGCCAATAATTAATATCAGTTGTTTCCAATAAAGTATTTGCAATTCAACGAATGATTGTTTTGTAAGCTCGTTGAACAAATAAAAAAAAATGACACTTTTTTTAAATATTTATCCGATTCCAATACTTGTCTTTTAGAATGTTTCTCAAAACGTATACTGTACCCATCATTGCTATATCTATACATTCGGAAGTCATCGAACAGAATCTCGTTAGTAAGACTTTATGCAGTTAAATAAAAAAATCAGATAAGAACCAGATAAAATAGGAAATTTAATTAAGAAGACCATTATAGAGTGGGATTTTTATATAATAAAAAATTGGGACCAATTCCCAGTTCATTATAGTAATAGAATGTAGGCCGTTATAGAAAAGGTTGTTATACTGTACAGTCCCCAGCAAAATTAATGGTGCAAAAATTAGAACCACTTGGCTCAAGAATAGTTCCATAAATTGTCCAATTTAGGATATTATATATAATCAAATCATGTAATTAGATCATAACCATAAAAAGTAAATAAAAAAACAATGACCATAATTATCATTTTTCTTGTTTATTTTACTTTGTAAAATGGGAAACAAAATATTTGTACATTGAAAGAAATTTCAAGCAGAACTGGAATTCCATTACGCACATGTCAACAATACATTGCATTGTTAAAAAAAAATGGAAAAATACTTGAAACTCATGGTCAGGTCACCTATGAAAATTATCAATGATACCAACTTGGAATGATTGTCAAGAGTAACTACTATAGAATCACCACCAAAATGAAGGCTATTTTGGAAGAAAAGTATCAAGACCTTGAAATTAGTGAGAGGACTATCCATCATGGGCTTTCCCAACCTTGGTTATATTACTACTCTTCCAATAAGAGTCCCTCTTTTGACACAACAAGTTAAGACTAATTGCTCATTGTGGAAAAAAGATCATGTGTGTTACAACTGGAAGAAAGTTGTTTTTTTTTCAGATGAGACAACTATCCAAATGTTCCATAACACTATGTTGTCATGGTCTCATGAAAAAAATCCCATCCAACCATGGTAAAGCATCTGTTTAAAGCTCATATTTGGGGTGTGACCAATTTTAAGGAGAAGATTGGCATTTGACCCTAAACATACCTCTATAGATGCCCAGAATGATCTGAATGTCTGCATCCTAGGACATGGCCTTTATACAATCCAGATCTATATTGAAAAACATATCAAAAAGATGGTAACACAAAAAACTGTTTCTAAAAAAAATTTATAAACATAATTATGGAGGAGTGGGAAGCTCTTGAAAAAAATACAATAGTTAACAACATCAACAGCATGCAAAGTCAGTTTCAAACATGTATTAATGCTGAAGGTGCTCACACCAAATATTGATGTAATAATAAAAGTTGTAGCCATACTATTTGGCTTTAAGAATATATGTATTTTTTAATTGTACTTTCTTTTTATGCCATTAATTTTGCCAGGGACTGTAATTCTTACATCAAAATAACTTCAAGTACTTTTGGAGTTTTTTTTTTCAATAAAATAATACTACCAGCATCAGATTTTTTTAATCTAACTATTTGAAAAAGCAGCTTTAAAATATGAAGGCCTTGCTTTTAAAATGGTAGAATGAGCTTTATAAATTTTAACATCATAATGATATTTTATTTAACTTAGTTAATAGTATGCCAAAGAGTGTTAAAATGGTAATTTGAAGCAAAGGTTGGCATATTAAATATTAAAATGGATTTTTTATGCCTTCATAGAGATGCGCAATGTGTATTATGCATTACATTATGTGATGTGCATAATAGATATAGATAAATCTAGCATAATGGACACTCGTTTTATCACTTTGTGACAAAATCGATTGTTGATCTTTTTTATGTTGTGAAACATGTGATTTCAATTGTTTTAAAATAGAAAAAAGGCGTATATGTATACAAAAAAAATATTATTAAGGTACATATTAATTTTTTTGCGCAGAAACGTTTTTTATGTTTGCCTTTACTAGTAGATTAAATAAGATCAAAAGATCATGTCTAGATCAAAAGTTAGATGAGAACTAAAGTTTGAAATAAACACTACGTGTATGTAAACATTTTATTCAAATTAAAATTTTATTTTACCAATTTTTAATTAAATCAAAAGCGTTTTTAAAGTCTAAAACTATTTTTTGTTCTTCAGTTATATTTTCCTCTACCTCCTCGTCTCCTGTTACATCAGGCTCTTCGAATTCATCATCATCATCCAACGAATCAGTCAAACTTTCTTTTTCTAGTCTTTTTATATAAGAAGATACGTTGGAAATTATACCCGCTTTATAAAATTCCAAGCAATAGGTACATTGATTATTTTTCATTTCATAGCAATTTTTATGAAATGCATGACCACATATCAGCATTAATGCACTTTGATCATAATTATTTTCAAAACCAAGGTTGCAATAATCACATCCATTAGAAGATGGTGGTTTACTGGTATGATATCCTGTTGGAATGCATTTCAAATTGATTTTTTTATTCAAGGTTGCTAAATAATATTCTTTTTTGATAATTTTTTTGCTTTTTCCCATATTTAGGTAAACTCTATGAAAATAATCAATTAAGAATAAACTTGTTTTATATTTAAGA